GCCTGGTCCTTGTCAGAGCACTGTGGAGTTGCAATGACAGGTGTACCATTGAGTGGGAGGACATTCTCAACATCCTTCAGGGACCGTCCACTGTGTCTGTGTAATCTAGTCGGAGAGCTGTTTTCACATGACGCTGTCTTGCTTTACGCTGTGAATACACGAGTGGGTATATAAGTAATGCTTCACTGAGTTTCCCCGACCACATACAGAGAAATCATGCCTACATTTATGTTCTCTCATATACTAACGCTGCACTGAACACTCTTCTCATGTACAGTTATCATTGATTGATTGGGTTCCCACTTTGAAATATCGAGTCGAGATGCTAGGTTCACTGAGGCTTTTGTACATAGATTGGGATCCTAAATGATCTGATTGATTTTCTGTTTCCTCAAGTTGCACACTGAACACCCTTTATTTAGAGAGTAATATCTTTTCCGTTTGTAATACATTGTGATTCTATTTGTATATGTTGAGAATAAATGCTTTTAATAAATTGATGTGATGCCTTTTGTAACATCTTGTCTTTCTGTCTCTTATATTTGAGGATGAACTAGCGAGGGATGAATACTTGTGGTCTTAACGTCATCCGTAATCCGAAAATCCGGAGACATAATTGCCTCTCACATAACGATTTGCCTCTACAATATCCGGTCACGATTGAACAGTCAAATTATTTGTGTTATGTTGTTCCAAGTGTACTGTTTATTTGTTGTCTCTTCTTTTGAACAATTTCACAAGGGTTTGTCGGCCGTAGAATTTTGCTGATTGATTATGGACGACAATCAGTGTTCTACTTTCTATAGTAGCTCTATTATAGTCCTGGTTGGAAGTTTGCAAATACTGGTTATGGGCGGTAGTGGTTCTCAGGTATGAAATCAAATAGAGATGATACCAGAAGTTCGCGAAAAGGTATCCTGTCCCACTGGTGGCACCCGTCACAGACAAGGAAATGGCTATCCTATCCAGTCTTCTACACTTTTACCATAAAACATTTGGACAATTAGTGACTGCATTCATATCTATGCACCATTGAAACAGAGTTGTAGGGATGACAAATCTAGTTGTTTCGAAAATCCGATTTTATGTATTCAATAATATGCTCCCCTACATTCTACAAATATCTTGACAAAGTATTCGAATGACAAACATACAAGTCATATTCTCAATAATAGAGAAGCCTGAAACACTGTCACATTTTTATGCATAGAAAAGATGAAATAGTGATGAAAAGTATATGAATGGATCACTGGAAATCAGTGATGACACCAGGTATTCCACAGAATGATTAGCATGTAATGCTCTACCAGAAGCACCCGCCACACTCATAAAATTCATAAAAGATGTAAGCTGTTTGTTGTTGCCAAATGCCGCCACCAGCAATACTCCTGACATATCACGGTGGCCTGTAAAGTATCGAGTCTCGACCAAAGAATCCAGGGATCACTATCATGAGCAATGATTCACGTCGTCGGGTTACCACTTCACGCTGTCAACCAAGTCAAAAAACATGACCACCCGATCCATTTAAGTAAGTGAGTAAGGAGGTGTGAAATCTCCCTGTAAAGGTCATAGTATGGGATAGAATTGAAAATCACTTTGACAGGCAGCATGTCATATTTCGTAAAAAAATCTACCTAATTTCCTACTTCTGGAATGACTTGATCAGGCCTATGATGCCGAACCTTGATTTAAGTTTAGCTTAGTTGTAAGAAAAATGTGTGTTTCCAGGAAATTTAATGATATGCACATGCGTTTAAGTACACAAGCAACAGGGAAATATGGATGACATGAGTTGAAGCTTAAGGCATATTATTCCACGTGACATTCACTTTGAAACATCACTAGAACGAGATGTTTGTATAGTTTGTCCCATTTCTACACTAATGTATGTCACATATGCATTTTATCCCTTGGGTTCAATAACATTGTCAAAAGCGGGAGTTTAAAATGTTACTTCATGTAAAATACCTGCACTCTAACTATGAAAACCATTGAAATGAAATACTATTTACTTTGTACCTTTTCGACAAAACAATCTCAGCTTCAGGGTATAGGACAGAAGTAGTCGAGACCCGGTACAAGAGACGACAAGAACGTTTACTTGTCGGCGGCGATTGTGACGTAGCTAGTCCGAAAATCCGACACAGTCAATCAGAGATTCTCCGTTCCAACTGGATTTATTCACGTATCTATTCAAAAATATCAATGCATTTCAGAATAGTTATTCAATTGTCAGTTATTTAATAATAACACATGTCAAAATTCCATTAAAAAATATCAATGCATTTCAAAATAGTTATTCAATTGTCAGTTATTTAAGATCCGACACATGCTCTGCAATAACCAATGCGCACTGCAGCACCGTTATCTCAGTACCATATCTAAAACATATTATGTTGAGTCTATTTGGCTAATGTGACATTGCTGTATACTGTAACCATTTTTCGATATTTCTCTTTGTAACCAGTACATTTAATTGAACAGGACGATATATTTGCAGATATTCCTTTATTATTACCCAGATATTCTTTTGTAACCAGTACATTAAAATGAATAGGAGGAAAATATTAGAAGATATTCCTTTATTATTACCTATGTCGCTTTTATCAAAACTTGATGTATAGAAAATAGATGTGAGATGATTCAACTCCTGTACGTACACATCGAGGTCAATTAAACAGTAGAAGGTTCCGCTTTCGCAATCAGTTCAAGTGAAGTTCTTTGCTATGTTGTTATATCCCATTGAGCTCTCAACGCAAAATGACCTGCTAATGTGTATAAGTTCATATCATATTATGTACTATTGAAAAGCAAACACATTCACGTGTATTGGTGCACGAGACGATTTACTTTGGTTAACAGCATGCTTGTCTCATTTCTCCTGTATGCCAATCCACACCACCACTATTTTTCCTCTTATGCAGCTATTCATGCTTTCACGCCCATTCAACTCGTAAAATTTGCCCCATTAAGTATTTCCTGGATATAAAAACATATGATCCTTTTCAAATTTCAGTTTTGCGAAGGGAACATTCTGCAGAAACATCTTCATGAAAATGTTGAAGTTGTTGTTTGTCTTTTGTTCGTTCAAACACACACACAAACACGAACACACGAACACACACACACACACACACACACATACACGAACACACGAACACACACACACACTCACTCACTCACTCACTCACTCACTCTCTCACACACACACACACACACACACACACACACATACACTATTTTATCTGTATGTATGCCAAATGCCGCTACCAGCTATACTCTTGACATATCACGGTGGCCTGTAAAGTATCGAGTCTCGACCAAAGAATCCAGGGATCACTATCATGAGCAATGACTCACGTCGTCGGGTTACTACTCCACGCTGTCAACCAAGTCACCAAGCATGACCACCCGATCCATTTAAGTAAGTGAGTAAGGAGGTCTGAAATCTCCCTGTAAAGGTCATAGTAATTATAAGGGATAGAATTGCAAATGATTTTGACAGGTAGCATGTCATATTTAGTAAAAAGATTACCTTATTTCCTATTTCTGGGATGACTTGATCAGGCCTGTGATGCCGAATCTTGATTGAATTTAAGCTTAGATGTAAGAAAAATGTGTCTTTCCAGGACATTTGAATGATATGTGCATGCGTTTAAGTACATAAGCAACAGGGAAATGTAGATGACATAAGTCGAAGCTGAAGGCATATTGTTCCACGTGACATTCACTTTGAAACATCACTAGAACGAGATGTTTGTATAGTTTGTACTATTTCTACACTAATGTACGTCACATAATACTAACATTATATCCAGGAACACTAACGTGGATGTTAAGTGCTTTTTACCCCCTGGGTCAATAACATTGTCAAAAGGGGGAGTTTAAAATTTTACTCATGTAAAATACCTACAATATAATTATGAAAACAACTAAAATGAAATACTACTCATGCTGTACTTTTCGATAAAAAAAAAGTATAGGACAGGCGTAGTCGATCGGCAAGTCAATCAAGAGACGACAAGAACGTTTACTTGTCTTGTGACTTAGCTAGTCCGAAAATCCGACACAGTCAATCAGAGATTCTCTGTTTCAACTGGATTTATTCACATGTCCATTCAAAAATATCAATGCATTTCAGAATAGTTATTCAATTGTCAGTTATTTAATAATAACACTTCATCAACTGTAACGTCAGTATCATATCTAAAACATAATATATTGAGTCTATTTGGGATAATGTGACATTGTTGTACACTATAGCCATTTTCTATATTCCTCTTTGTAACCAGTACATTCAATTCAACAGGATGAGTGTATAGCAGATATTCCTTTATTATCACGCATGTCACTTTAATCACAACTTGATGTGTAGGGAGTAGATGTGAGATGATTCAACTGCTGTCTGTTCACATCGAGGTCAAACAAACAGCAGAATGTTCCGCCTTCACAATCAGTTCAAGTGAAGCTCTTCGCTATGTTGTTATATCCCACTGAGCTCTCAATGCGAACTGACTCATCACACACACACACACACACACACACACACACACACACACACACACACACACACACACACACACACACACACACACACACACACACACACACAAACACACACACAAAAACACACACACAAAAACACACACACACACAAACACACACAAAAACACACCAAAAAACAAAAACACAAAACCAAAAACACACACACACACACCCTAAAGACGTTTCCGCTAACTAGTTGACATTGTGAAGTGAATGTACAACAAGTCGGATTTTCGGATTTATGATGTATAGCATGCATTACCTCTCAGTCTTCTTAGATGCTACACCCTGGGAAAGACCTCGCGTTCTCGCGTCTTGCTTCAATAAACGCCCGTCGATAAACTCGCGGCCGCTTATCTGCAACAGTAATTTTTGTCGACAAGTTTAGGGAAATCCCCTTCACAAAGCCTACATATAAAGAGCAAGCGATTGAACGGACAGCAGATCAGTAAAGCAGAGGGTAAAACGTATGTACAGAGCCGACAATGGGGAATTATGTGTCATGCTGGTCCGGATTTGGGTATCGGGTAGGTGAACTTTAATTATTAGAAACTAACGAGCTCATTGTTTGCATGTCGATGTGCACGTTTGTGGTTGCATGGTCTTATACAGTCTGTCTTTATTTCTGTGTGTGTGTGTGTACGTGCGTGCGCGCGTGCGTGTGTGCGTGTGTGTGTGCGTGTATGCGTGTGTGTGTGTGTGTGTGTGCGTGCGTGCGTGCGTGCGTGCGTGCGTGCGTGCGTGCGTGTGTGTGTGTGTGTGTGTGTGTGTGTGTGTGTGTGTGTGTGTGTGTGTGTGTGTGTGTGTGTGTGTGTATGTGTGACAGCACGAAAAGTATATATGACATAAGCTTGCAACATTTAATTTTATACATGACATGTGATGGTATAAACATCTCCCTTCCAGAGACTTCACCAGCCACACAACCAGATGATCCGTTCATATAATCCATTGGTCACATTGACAGGTTCGTTTATTTAATGTCATTGAATATGTCCTTTTCATCTTGATCAATTTGATTATGTTAAATATGCAATATGAACGTCGCATAATATCTTAAGTACACATATGCTATACTGTAGACGTGGAGAGAATATGTATTCTCCTCTGCATATATTAAGATGTACTATGTCTCGCAACATACTTTCCGTATCTGTTCTGATTTGTAAGGTGTTTGTTAAAATGTAAGTTTGAAAAGACAAAAACAAAATTACTCAAAACGCAAACTCATCTATAATTTTCATTCACATTTTTTAAATCATAAAACGTGATGTTAATTTGTTTTGTAGGCCCTGTAAATGAGGAAAGACTGAGAATCCCTGTTTCTCAGAAAGGTGTCAGCCTGGTGGCAAATCATATTGGGATCGGGTTTGAATCTATTGGAATCGAACTTGGACTCAATCTTGTGGTGATCGAACAAGGCAAAGTTTCACACCCAACTTCACTTTATATGCAGACCTTACACATGCTCACCAAGTGGAAGGAGAGGAATGGCAGATCTGCCACTGGCCTTGTGCTCGTCAGAGCGTTGTGGAGATGCAGAGGTAGATGTACGCTCGAAATGGATGCCATACTAAACATTCTCCAATCACCATCGACTTAGTGTGTCATTCGTAGTGCACACCTAAAATAACAACAACACTGTCGACTCACTGCTCTAGTATATGTTAAGAATAACGTACATGTTTGATATTTCCTTATGTTTCACGAATAAATGTTGCTTTTTAAAACTACAGGGTTTTTTGTTCATTTATACATTGCACATATGGATGTTTGAGTCTATGTTAGTCTACGTGGTGTTACTGGCAGTCTGATAGTAGTTTCAAGCGTCCCAGCTTATGCTACTGATGATGATCATGTGATTATACTACATTACATCTGCCCTGTGTATAATCCGGTGATGAATAAGGCACCAGTATCCTATGATTGCTGCAAGAGCTGACTGGAGCGAATCAGGTGGTCAGAGTTGGTCATTCAGCTGTGTTGGTGTCATCCGAACCCAACGGCGTCGTATGCTTTCAGATAAACCTTCATGTTGTTTGTAAGGGAGTTTCCTTCATCTCCATTACATTTAATACCACTTAGTTTTCATATATACCTCAGGGGGCAGCCTGTACTAAATGCCTGATGAGTAGTATAACATGAGGTCCGTATCCTACCTAGAACTAACTGCTTGTCTCAACCACAGTGTTATGAACTGATTTTAACAAACAAACGAAACGTCATATGCTATGTCGGATTGTCGGATTGTCTTGTTCACATCTTGCATGAACTATCTGCCATATAGCTGCCCGAAGTGTGTTTCGTTTCGTTTCGTTTTATTGCGTAGTGCCCACAGACAACCCCCATTTCAGACAAACCAGAATAGTCCCTAGTTCGATAGATAGATTAGTATCTGCAGTGAGAGTATGCAAAATTGCGTCATATTTTCGAATGAAATTGAAAAGTTCATTCACTCCGGAAACGACAGGAAAACATCTGACAATCTAACACTAATATCATCATTATTACTGGAGAAAGTGAGGAAAGTGCAGAAATCCTGCATACGTGTCAGTGTGCCTGTCCACTTTACCGGATTCCCATGATAGGAGACAATTAATTGATACACCATAACTTATATTGATTGATATACTGCTCAACATCAACATATTGTGTGTTATCCCACACGAATTTACGCTTTTCGAGTAAAATAAAACCTCATCACACATATATACAAAAGAAACAAATCATATATACGAGTTTTATTGGTAATAATATGGCTTCTCTCGTCTCAATACTATGATCAAACACGCTTTTACGGCGTCTGAAGTAGACAGCTTACTCCACGTGGTGTTGACATTGAGAAGATTTGATAAGCAGCCTATAACCACTGAGTATGAATGAAAACATATCCCCCCTGTTGTGACAACTATGTAACTGAATGACATGGCGATTCATAGCCGAAAATCCGGAAATCCGAAGTCCGTGATTTAGAGAAATGACAGCAATTTGTTGATTACATACGTCTGAGATTTACAGTGTGCCGGTAAATTGTACAAGGGAGTCCCCCCCCATCAGGTATGCATGTATAAACTGGGCTGGCTACATTGTGTTAGCTGTGTCACAATATCACACGCTGCGGATTCGAAGATGGGAAAATGATCATGGGGAATATTAGATCATGCTTGTCAGGATTTAGATATCGGGTAGGCCTCCTTTATCAACTGCAGTGCATGTGAAAGAGACGGCCATCACAGTGTGACACATATAAGGGTCATACTTCGTGTCATGCATGTTAAGTGTCGTGGGACATACAAGGAACTATTATATGTAAAGACATGACGCTACGGTGGTGTCAGGAATACAATGTTTGGTGACCTACGTGTAGTATGCTGATAATACGAGCATAAGGTAAGGATGTGCTGGGATCAGAGAGGGACGTCAGGGGTTGCATCATATGTTTCCAGTGCATGAATGTGTTCAATGTGTGCACATGTATATGTGAATGCAGGACTTTCTCAATATTGTTGATGTTTGTACATGTGAAAGACTGGTAAAGATGCGATTACTGTTATATATTAACGGCTATCAAAAATGTTTACAAGTATACAACCTTTGAGTTCCACACACCAAGGAATGTGTTTGAGTCTTTTGTTCTTTCCCGAGAATTGGCACGAAAGATAACCCATCCTTTCATATTAACCACCAGTGACCGGCACAGAGCGGTACAATGATTTCATTTGTGTTCAGCGTTTTCTTTTGCTTTCACTGAAGTTGAACACATTGAGCACATGCTTATGACATGCGTTAAGTCGAGATCTATTCCAATTACAGAACGGGTTTTATTTAAAGATGACGTAATTGAAGAATTGTATTCCATGAGGTCAAGTACGTGTGTTTCCAAATGTCATTCCTTTACAATGCCACACACCAACTGATGATAAACTGGTATTGAGAAAGGAACAAATGTCATATATAGTAACAGGATATATATATCGTTTCTTCACCTCGTGTGTGATATGATATGCGACGTTGACTGTAACCTACATGTAACAAATGTAGTAGAATTATAATTCTGTGTAGCTGACGATGGGTGGGTGCTTAGGTTTGGTCTGTGCAACGAAATTTATCTTTCCTGAGCGACTGAATAATAACATCAGCGAATCGAAGATTACATTTTCTGCATGCTACGTTTCACACTAATTATATAAGATACCGTCAGCATGCATGATTTACTGTCATCTGGGCTTCAGAGCTACACATTTTATCTGCCCTAGCTTAACATACATGTTCAGTTGTTTCACAGATATTCTACATATCAACAGCAATAGAAACGCTGTAGTGCAGCTCTAGCTGGAGACCACATTATTACAATTATCATCCCAGAGAGACATTATAGTTGAGCAATTGCTAATTATCCATCCGTCCTTCGAAACGACTAGTCACTCTGCCTCATATGAACACGGGGAAGAGAGAATGAGTGAAGGCTTTTAGCAATATTTTAGCAATATCACTGCGGTGGGCACCAGAAATGGGCTTCACACATTGAACCCATGTGAGGATTCGAACCCGGGTCTTAGGCGTGACGAGCGAACATTATAACCACTGGACTACCCTACCGCCCCTCACGCGGAAGAATGTGCAAGTGATAACTAATTGGGTTCTTCTGTCATTCGCAATCTGAAATTCCGGAAACTGAAATGGATGTAACGAACGAACTGTTAATAGAAATGTTGTTGATCATCACATTACCTGCGTTTGAAAGATGTTTTACAAGGCGTAGAAAGTCAACAATTAGAATGTATGTGAAATTATTGTCAACAAAATTCATGATACGTGGACCTTGCAGTGGACATTTGGAAGAGGTATGATAGTGTGTCCGTCTGTCCGTGTGGACGACTTGACTACAGCTGAAGAAGATCCAATCATGATTATAGTCCAATCATTGACATTTTCGTATTGCTGACACGTCTAACATCAAGTTCTGATCCATTCTATGGTCTTGTTCTTTCAGTTTTTAGGCTGCCGCTTACACATGTAGATAAGAGAGCAGTGACAACTTCACTGCTCTCTTATCTACATGTGTGAGCGGCATACTGAACCGCAGGTTCCTTTTGTGACCACACGTCAATTATCGACACTGCTGTGATGTTATTTCTTTATTATTGTTGGTCATAGTGTGTGACAACAAACTTAAAATGCACGATAAGAGGTATAACCCCCCACATAGGTCTATTATAATCTCTTTCACATACACACCATTTTGCCAAACTCCGCCTTTATATCAGTTTTGAAATCCGAAAATCCGAAATTCCTAAATCTTTGGTTGAAGCTATTGCGAGAGAGAGTGAGACGTTGTGTCCCCTCTCGTGCCGGGGCATCCCGCAGTGCTCACATATAGCCTAGAGTTTTTGATTTAGTCATACCAGTTGAACACACAGAGTGGTGTACGTCAGTGTCATATATGTATAGGCAGCATGGGGAATATTGCCTCGTGCTTCTCCGGACTTCAGTATCAGGTACGTCTTAATAACGCCCTTTTAGATCTGTTCATTAAGGTACACTAATGGTAGTAATATATGTACACATCATTTCTGTATGCTTAATAGTGGATATAAGGTAACGAAAATACTGTTCAAAGTCTTTATATACTCACTCCTGTTCCGGCAGACATTGTCTCTGTTTATCATTCCATATTCAGTATTATTGTGTGGAAGTTTATCATTCCATATTAAGTGTTATAGTGTGGAAGTTTATCATTCCATATTAAGTGTTATTGTGTGGAAGTTTATCATTCCATATAAAGTGTTATAGTGTGGAAGTTTCATCCCACCTGAAGAATAATACGGTATTTGAATTCAACGCCTTTCAGGAAATACTACAGCATATCATCTCAACACACAATTGATTGTGTATGATTTTCGTTCTAGAGAATGCACCAGTCAAGCAACGGGCTGATCGAACAGATCATAAGCAGAGGTGCGTTAAATTATAACTGCCATAATTTTGTGCGACATTCTTTATCATGATTTGATGATTTCATTTCAGAAATTTGGTAATATATGCCATATGTGTTCAGCATAACTTTCAACATATTTTGATCGTTATTATGATGACAAATATGTATATGGGACGATTTGTGCAACTTTTTTTTCTGTCAATTTGTATTGCTTATTTGGAATATCGGTGAGCATTGGAGATGAATAAAGGTTAATTCGATACCACATGTCAATCACACAAAACAGAAAGAAACCTGTTTATGTGAGCCTTTGTGGTAGAATTGGTGTTACATCAAGTAATACAGATTTCTGTGTAGGTTCAAAACGCTGTGTGAACGAGAGACTGAAGACTCCTGTAACTCCACGAGATCTCGGCCTTGTTGCGAGACATGTCGGGAATGGATTTGAGCACGTCGGGATTGAACTTGGCCTCAGCGTTGTGGCTATCCAACAGGGCAGAGTTGCACACCCATGTTCAATGTATATGCAGATCTTGATTATGCTCACTAAATGGAAGCAGTGGAATGGAAATTCGGCCACCTATCTGGACCTGGTCAAAGCACTATGGACATGTAAAGAGAGATGCACGATCGAATGGGAGGACATTCTCAACATCCTGCAGTGACGATCCTCCTTGTCAGTGTAATTGCACCTTGGTAGAAGAAATATTATATAAATATGAAAACAAACTGTGTTTTTATCATTTCGACCATACGTTTTTACCTTGTTCCGAAATATTGTAATCTCAGGTCTACTATACAGCAATCAGTAAACAGGGTCATATCATCAGTCATCATGTTTGGAAAATAAATATATTTATCAAATTACAGTTTCTTTGTGTTTTCTGCATTTGCAAGTTTACCCTAAGAACACGTGGAGTCAGATTGTACCAATGGCGGCTCCTACACGTGGAGTCAGATTGTACCAATGGCGACTCCTACCGGTTGGGCAGGACATGCGTGCACTTTCACAAGACGTGGTGTCATCAGTGATTATCAGTTATCCATTCCTATAGTTTTCCCCCCCCATTTTGCCTTATGCGCCCAATGGAATGTGTTTCGGTAGATAATCAAGACTGGTTATTCTCTGGCGTTGTATATTTATTAAGTTTAGAATGCTACGGATTGGGGCTTTCATGGGAAATATGTCCCGGAAATAATGAAAGTTCATAGTGATGCTTTTAATAAAGTCAGAATCGTAAAATGGAGTCGGCTTTCTACAGAGATTTCTTGTGATTATGCAAAGGGTTTTGTCGCTCTTATCCATACAAACATCTCTGACGAATTCAAATACCTCCACCTCGCAGTGATAATGATAAATTACTCAGAAATTCACAAACTTTCTAAATTGAATTGAATAAAAAACTGATTATTCAAGTAATCAGAACATTTTCGTAATTCGTAATTCGATCCCAGTGCTATACAACCTTCATATTGTACATCGTTTCAAATATTCAAACCGTCCCTCTGTTTATATCACCAGAAATAGCATAAGTAAGCGTAAACGTTTTCTCTCCCTTTCACACAACCTGAACAATAGGTTACAGGTACAATGGTTGTGGTGATCAAAAGATCAAAGTTTCATGTACATGAAATGAAGAACAAATTTGCTTCATGGTATGATTTAAAACAGGAAAATACTATTTCCATTTTGGAAAATGAGTTCAACACAAAACACAACATTTAAAGCCGTTTAAAAATCAGTGCACTTCATTTCATTATACCTTTCGTCATTATTACGTACATTTGCCACATTCAGAAAACAAAGTCATTTTAGCCCAGTACGAGCAGCTACAGATGATGCTTCTATTGACAATACGCCTGTAAGCATTTTACCCACAGTATCCAGGTCTCGTCAGGATAACTTCCGTACTTTTCAAATGCTAACGTAATATCTGAAAACAGAGTTGCCTCCCTTTGACCAGCTACTGTAAACGTGGTATGCATTATTAAACCCTATCTATCCCTGACATTGTCTACAATTGACTTTGTTGACAGGATAATGTTTGTAACGGCGTTGGTAGTACAGCTTGCGATAACATGTAATTGAAATGAAATCTTGATAATTTGAGATCGGCAAGGGACAATCACCATGTTTCTTCAATATCGGGTGTGAGTGGGGCTGAATCTAATTTCCTTTCTAATTAAATCTCCAGAGTGTGTGAGTGAGTGAGTTGGGTTCAACGCTGCTTTTAACAGTATTACAGTTATATCACGGCGTGTCAGCTTAATGTGAGAGGAAAGCCCGAAGTGATGCAGGTCTCAGACGTTTACCGCTTCGGTGAAACCCAAGAGGACGGGTATGGTGCTGACAAACCTAGAAACATAATCTGGGCGAACCGGGATTCGAACCCAGGATCACAGGTGTCTGGCGTGCCCAAGGGACGCAACTCTACAAAGCAAAAGGCGGCGCCCTAGACGACTGGGCCACCGTACCCCGAAAATCTGCAGGTTTAACGTTGCGTTCAAGAATTCTGCTCTTATATGAAGTAACGTGCATGCACGCGTGTGTGTATATGTATGTGTGTCTGCTCATGTCGTTTTTACAGAACAAGCCACTGATACACCATACCGAAGTTTTAACATGAATACCCCACTCTGACACAATATACTGACCACAAATTGACCAGTCTTATCCCCTTAATGCTGAGCGCCAGGCGGGGTAACAAGAGCACCATATTTTAACGTCACTGGGCAGATACTCTCTCCCTTTACGCAGATGCTTAACGAAGTTCAGGTGTGGTATATATACCCTCAATATACAGTTATACAGACACTCCAAAGATAATGATGTTTTAACATAGATGTGTCCTTTCTGCAAATGTAACCAAGAAAATGAATACCATGTTTTATTGATATTTCCAGTATATGAGGATATAAGAATCAAATACCTGCCTAACTATTATTATACGTATCCATCACGAAGAAAATTTGTACAGTTAATGAACAGCAAAAATAGCCACATTCTTCTCAGACTTGCAGTTTGTGTTTATAAGATATTTGAAAGAAGGATAATACATTGAATATAAATAAAACTGTGTACACCATATTTAGCTACAATCTAATCTAAAGTGGTGCTTCACGACGAATCGTTTTACAAAAACAGTCATTATATTCCTGAATATGAGGTCACCGTGAACGTACTTTAAAGTCTATATTGCAACAGGTTACATGGCTTCGTTTTGGGAGTGAGACTTCACAACTCTGACACTGGAAATGGTGCAGAAACAAATCAAAGTGACAATACCGACTATGATAGAAAGACACCCACGTGTTCCTGCAAGTACATATTTTACACAGCGACATGTAGCTGCAAACATTCATTGTGTACGTCAATCTTAACTCACTCCCGTAATTTCAACAAAATACTTTGCTTTAAGAAAGTTTGGAACACACTGAAATCTGCATATGTTCAGTTATAAACATTTGTAAGAAACTGTTATGTAATCTTCTAAACATTAAAGTTAGCCATGTTCCTAGAATTTGTAACGTACAATGGTTTTTTTTATGGAATCGAGATGCAAACAGAAACGTCAAAACTACATTGACACAAATCACCGAAATGGTAAACGTCTGAGACCTGCATCACTTCGGGCTTTCCTCCCACATTAAGCTGTCACGCAGTGATATAACTTGAAAACTGTTAAAAGCAGCGTTAAATCCAACTCACACACTCACTCGATTCAACTTAACACAATGCCTAAGGAAAGTTCGGTTCACACTGAAATACGCATATGTCCAGTTAGGAACATTTGAAAGAATCTATTATGTAATCCTCTAAGCAATATAGAGGATTTTTTCGTCATGAAGTTAGCTATGGTCCTAGCATCTGTAGAGTAAAATGTTTGCTTTTTATGGAATTGATATGCTAACCGAAACATCAATGCTACATCGACACAAGTGACAAATAACTCGTTTTTTTCTGCAAACCAAATTCGGACGACTGACTCCTGAAGGAGGTTGTAAAACTGTATATGTATACTGTATCACTGTACACCATACTATCAATGATAACTCCTTTCTAGACCACTTTTAGAGCTGCTGCAGCTCTATCTTTTCCCCAGACTCAGTGTAGTGAATGATGACATTCTCAGAATTACTAGTGTTATCTGAACTAGGCACTGTGTCACCAACTACTGGAGCATGGACACAGGTGGGAACATGACTTGAGTTTCCATATATAGCTTCTGTTCTTTGATTGGGTGAACGTATCTCCATGCGTGCAGGATCTGTATGGAGGTTGTTAAGATTTCCGTCTATATGATATGGTTGGGATGACTGCAAAGCGATCTCTTCAATAACACTTTGTCTGTCTGTGGAAACTGCTTGTCCCAGTTGACTCGGAACATAAACCCCTGGCAATTCTATTGATGCGTGGTTCACGGGGCACGTTGATGTTGGTGGTGTGGATGTAAGCAAACCGCCATTGTTATAGCTTCCATGTGGAACTGACGATGATTTCATAAGAAACTGGCCATCGGTTGTCACCCTGAAACAATACCACATGCACTTGACACAACATTTCAGAGAAAATAGGACTTAATCAAAATAGTGATGCTATTGTGACATATAATACAAAATCAAGATGTAAAAGCCTCCAGCGAAATCATTCAATAGTATACACAGTGAAGCCTAATTAAGTTCAAATATTGGTTAACATAATTTCAGCGTTTTTGCAAGTCCCCGTTGACATATGTAGCCCATGGAAAATAAGGTTTCCCTTGGAACAAATAGCAATAAAGTTCATCTCACCACAATGCATGTCTACAAGGTCCCCAAAACAACATACTTAAAGTCCCAAGCAATCCCAGTTTGGGAAATATGTCTAATTTACATAATCCAATATGGCAACAAACTGTCAATAGTATTTTCAACATTTCAGATGAGGTTCAATGTTTTGATGAAAAACAGCATTTGTTCTGTTGCAAAATAGTCATATTATGGTTTTAAAATGATATTCACAACTATTGATCGTTTTCGACTATTGACAAATCTATAAAACATCAAGATGGCCGGCAATTTCAAGATGGCCGACACTTTCCTAAATATGAGTTTAGACTGTTGAAGATTTATATCTGAAACAGTGTGCTTGGACGCATGTGCATAAAACTTGTCACACTAACTGACTGGCCCAAAATTCCAAGATGACCTCCAAGACATGGACAGACATTCAATATCAATACACTGTTGGTCTCTCATGACATATTTGATTGATTGATTTGGGACTTTTAGTATGTTGTTTGGGGGGCCTTATAGAAATGCTCTGTCTATATTCTTAGATAAATGATAGATATTTTGATAAATGTCTGATGGTACTGTCCTCTTCGAGGTCTCATATGATTTCGTAGGGTTTCAAAACTGTTCTGCAAAACAGCGTATACAATATATGTGTTTGGGTTGTCAACTAAAGCATCATTTCCACATTGCTCTTACCTATCTATAATTGTACCATGGTTGGTTGTCAGGTCATGTATATTTGTTGCCTCAGTTATAATCCTTGCAATATCATTGTGATGTTGTGCCTCTGCTTTTTGTAAAGCAGTTTCTTCTTTATCGTCTTTCTCATCCACATTTGCCTTGTTCTGTAATAACACCTCCACAACCTCCCTATGTCCCTGGCTGGCTGCATGATGTAGAGGTGTGCCGCCTTCCTTATCTTTCTCATAAACATTTGCCTTTTTCTGTAATAACACTTCCACAACCTCCCTGTGCCCCTGCCAGGCTGCATCATGTAGAGGTGTGCTGCCATTAACACGTTTCTCATAAACATTTGCCTTGTTCTGTAATAACATCTCCACAACCTCCCTATGTCCCTGGTAGGCTGCAAGATGTAGAGGTGTGCTGCCATCATCACGTTTCTCATCCACATTTGCCTTGTTCTGTAATAACACCTCCACAACCTCCCTATGTCCCTGGTAGGCTGCATGATGTAGAGGTGTGCGGCCTTCCTTATCTTTCTCATAAACATTTGCCTTTTTCTGTAATAACACTTCCACAACCTCCCTGTGCCCCTGCCAGGCTGCATCATGTAGAGGTGTGCTGCCATTAACACGTTTCTCATAAACATTTGCCTTGTTCTGTAATAACATCTCCACAACCTCCCTATGTCCCTGGTAGGCTGCAAGATGTAGAGGTGTGCTGCCATCATCACGTTTCTCATCCACATTTGCCTTGTTCTGTAATAACACCTCCACAACCTCCCTGTGCCCCTGCCAGGCTGCATCATGTAGAGGTGTGCTGCCATTAACACGTTTCTCATAAACATTTGCCTTGTTCTGTAATAACACCTCCACAACCTCCCTATGCCCCTGCCAGGCTGCATCATGTAGAGGTGTGCTGCCATTAACACGTTTCTCATAAACATTTGCCTTGTTCTGTAATAACACCTCCACAACCTCCCTATGTCCCTGGCTGGCTGCATCATGTAGAGGTGTGCCGCCTTCCTTATCTTTCTCATTCACATTTGCCTTGTTCTGTAATAACACCTCCACGACCTCCCTATGTCCTTGCCAGGCTGCATGATGTAGAGGTGTGCCGCCTTCCTTATCTTTCTCATAAACATTTGCCTTGTTCTGTAATAACACCTCCACAACCTCCCTATGTCCCTGGCTGGCTGCAAGATGTAGAGGTGTGCCGCCTTCCTTATCTTTCTCATAAACATTTGCCTTGTTCTGTAATAACACCTCCACAACCTCCCTGTGCCCCTGCCAGGCTGCATCATGTAGAGGTGTGCCGCCTTCCTTATCTTTCTCATTCACATTTGCCTTGTTCTGTAATAACACCTCCACACCACCCTATGTCCCTGGTAGGCTGCAAGATGTAGAGGTGTGCGGCCATCATCACGTTTCTCATAAACATTTGCCTTGTTCTGTAATAACACCTCCACAACCTCCCTGTGCCCCTGCCAGGCTGCATCATGTAGAGGTGTGCTGCCATTAACACGTTTCTCATAAACATTTGCCTTGTTCTGTAATAACACCTCCACAACCTCCCTGTGCCCCTGCCAGGCTGCATCATGTAGAGGTGTGCGGCCAGCATTATCTTTCACATGAATTATTCCCTTGTTCTGTAATAACATTGTAACAACTTCTGCGTTTCCATATATACATGCCAAATGAAGCCCAGTTTCACCCTTCTTGTTTTGCTCACCAATGTCCACTCGTTCCTGTAACAGATAGCTTACAATGCTAACATTTCCAACTGCACATGCGTAATGTAAAGGTGTTGATCCTTCAGGGCCTTTTATATTGACATTCAGTTTTCCAATTTTTGTAATTGTATCCATGGTATCTTTGCCCTTTAGACACAAGGATGCAAAATGTACATATGTATTCTTTCTTGACCTGTATTTCTTCTTGCTCATCTTTATCAAATGTGACAATCTGGAAGCCACTGCAGACAACCCACCCATACAGGCAAAAGTGAACATTTACCAAACTTTACTCCCAGATCATCTGCAACTGCCAACTGCAGTTTAATGATAAGAGGTCTTGGGAGTTTGGGTAGTGTCATCCACAACTTATCCAACTTCCAGTTTTTATTGGAAAACAGGTAATCGAAGTTGGCTAAACTATTCCCAAAGCAACTTCCAAACAAAGCTTCCTTTCTGTTCTCTGCATTCATTTGAACACTGAACAATGCTCTCCTCAACAAATGTGAGTTGTCTGTGATGCTCGCCCAAAACAGAAAGGAATATCCATGTACAATGTCATTATTTGACAATACTTTCAACAGTACACAACTGTCCTTGTTCATATTATGCAACAATTTCTCCCAAACCATATCAACAAATGTCTCTACCTTGAATAGGGAATGCATGCACACAAAGGCAAACTTTCTGCCGTGTAAAGCTGTAGCAAACCGCTTCGCTACAATATGCAGATCATCATGTTTCAATTCGAGGTTGAAAGACACATTTAGTTGTTCGTCTTCAGTTGGATCATCTCTAAATGTCACATAACGAAATATGAACTCGATATCCATCCTTTCAACCAACTGCCTAACATCACGTAGCAGTATTTCTCTTAGCTTTATTGCTACTTTATGATTTCTTATTCTATATGAGCCTGCTTCATGATGGAGACAGCATCCCGTCAATTGGGATAGAATATGTTTCATCACATTTTCAGTGTATTCTTCTTCATTGATGTCAAAAGCCTTAAGTGCCCAAACAATATATTTTTTGTAGGTTTCTCTTTCCACGCGAGTCCCTGTGTCAGACCCTGCCCATAGCATCCTCTCCTCCAGGTTATTCTCCGCCAAAGCAACCACTAACAAGCACGCCATCTTCTGCTTATGCAACAGGTGCTGATCCAAACATGGGTGGTCATCAGTATCTGTAAAAACAAATACCGTTTGTATGAAAGGAGTATACACCATTGCATATATAGATCTAAAGTATAATACCTTCCGTAACGCCTTACAATTACGTTACATAGTAATGATCTCCAGAATGCATACTTTCATCACTGGCGATAGCACAGTCGGTTCCTTCATGAATAGTTGGACCTCCTTGTTCTGTTGTCATTGAACAGCTATTTTCCAGTACATCTGTTGTCCCCAGCATGGAAGTTTGAATTTTGTGTTTGTCATTACCGAGTCCATCAACTGCCATGATGTGATTTCCTCCACCTTGCATATCTCCCTTGACCTTGGCATACTGTAGTATCCTCTGAAGTACATACAGCCTGTATTTCTCAACGTGACAGTTCCTCATGATGCCTGGAGACTTCTCCGAGAAAATTGCATCAGCAGCCTGAGAATATGAAAGTTAGAAATGAAAAGCTATCTTTCATACGTGGTTATTGAGACACATGTTGCCTTTCATATAAAAAACATAGCTTCAAACCAACCTACCATCAGAACGAATATCCCACAGCTGTGTCCATCAGACTGTTCTATCACTGGGTACTGTTTCTTCATCCATAACTTGCTCCCTTCCTTAGACGTAGATTTCAAGTAGTTTACAAAGAGCCTGAGGAATACATGTATATTACTCGATGGCGATAAAGTCTTCAACTCATGTGGACTGGTGTTAAAGTAAAGGTAGAAAAGAAGGTAAATACAGCAGTGCCTAAAATATCCTGTCCTGGCATTTCTGATGTTCTCTCCTGCTTTGTCCATAATTAGGTTTTATGTTAGCAAATACAGATGTTATGGTTTAAATGAATGAGTGACATAACTGTATTTATGGCGTTTAAATCATTCACACAGTGTACCAATTTGGGGAACTGGGTAACCCTGTGAACAGATTGTTCTATATCTTCTACCCAAAAGTAAAAGCTACAAATGTGGGTGTATCGAACATTTTTCGATGGATCTTTTTTACATTCATGTTTGTTTTTGAGAAATCAACATTTCAACATTTCAAATTGGATAGCTTGGTTTTAACATTTATAATGTGCAGCCACACGTCCTGTCTTTTATCTACCTCTAGTGTTGTACAAATGGGTGTTCTACATATAAGGCGGGTTTAGAATTGACCACGCCCACTGTTCTGTCTACCTACCTCCAGTGTTGTACAACCTTGTCCTCCACATCTAAGGAGGGTTTAGAATTAACCACGCCCACTGTTCCATCCTTGACATTAGCCACCAGTAGCACCCAATGTTGATTACGTGGCATGTTCACTGGCATTAAGATCCACGTGTAGTTTGTCAAATTTTCCTGTAAGTTCAAAAACAAATGCCTTTCCGGTGTACGATCAATATATCAAGAAACACGTGCTTCACATAAGCTGGATATGATGCAGTAACAGAGATATTAGTGAATTGGTATCATGAACTTGGAACTTAGAACTTCTAAAGACCCCTCTCTGACAACCAGATTTTCACTTCGTAAAGTAATATGTAGCAAGACGAATATGTTCTTGTGCAATATCTGCTTTTGCAACTGCATATTGAAAACGAATAGCATTATGGGATCAATGGGGTTACTGGCTTTGACTCAATTGAAACCCATTGCAGCATATGGTCGCTTCGTGCGCACAATTGCAAGTGATAACTTCTAGCATACTGAATACGCAATCATGGCATAGACGAATCATATGTTATCACAAAAAATATACAATTACTGCAAAATATCTTTCGAGTCTTGACCTTGTTCATGGTAGGGTGGACATGCAATGGTGCACTCGGAATGAAAGAATTATAAGAAATATAAAAATCTCACGTCACTCACATCTTTCCCCCTTATTCTGTCTGTGTACTGTCCTGCCTCCCACAGTAGGATTGTCTCTGTAGGCAGCACCAGACAGTGGAAGCTGACACGGGAACACCACTCTCCCTCCAGGAGGTGCAGGTATGAGTCCATGATCTAGACAGGAAAGAGTTCATTTATTAGAATGTTTATTATACTGTTTAATCGCCCAATGCTTTCGCTTCAAACGGAACGCTTGTAATTTCAAATCAAAGCAGGATCCGCTGCACATCACATATTCATCATGAAGAGAATATATCGGCTGTTAGCAATGACTGACAATTTGACTCGTGATGTACTAGATTTTGTGTACAATGCCCATTGCAGGTGAGTAGTGTCATCATTGCAGAATCGAGATGCATTGCAATGAGTTGATAATTAGCACCATTATATGAATTGATAGTTAACTAATACTGGTGTAAAAAGAAGAAACCGCCAAAAATTACTGTATTAATCTTAAGATGGGGTTTCAGTGGTCCAAGGCGCCGCATTTCGCTATGCAGATTCACCATGGGAATCAACAAAGTGGTTAACGTCAAAGATGTGCATCACTTTCTTCATAACTTAATCCAACGCACCATGACACTACTGTCAAAAAGAGGCGTTTAACCAAACTCAAGCTCTAGCTCGCCTACCTCAAGGCACTATCAATGAGTATTAGGTGACTGAACCACTCACCACCCTCACGCCCCCAGTTAATATCTAATACTGACATCATTTGATGAAATCGAAGGCCTCTCATGTTCTATGAAATGATTTTCTTGGATGGTTAACTAGGCACGTAGTTTGTGTGATTGTGTAAATATTGCAGGTGGACAACTTACTTCATCTGTCAGCCACTCGTTGGTTTCCAGGCGAGACAGAACATCTCCTCTGATGATGTAGCAGCCAACTGTGTATGTACAGTCACGTGACAGGGGGACGTCCTCTTGTACATGCTGCAGGTGTGAAGGAGGATCCTTCAGTGTTTTTCACAAAGTCCTGTACTTCAGTCCTGGTATGGCATGCTCCAACAAGTACTGCTGCGATGAGCTTTATGTAAACTGACAGGTCTTGGTTCCAGCTCAGACCGTCAGTATTAACAGCACATTTAACCCAGTTCCTTGCTTTTATTGAATCTAGATTCCAGTTTTTGTCGACCTCTTCAATGTGTGACAAGCACGGATTGCCTTTGTTGGTACAGTCCTTGTTCCAGAACCTAGATGATGCTAGGACTTGTTGCACGACCTTTATCACATCACGATTTCTTTCTACTTCTTCTAGAAACGTGTACAGATAAGAAAAGTGTGTGTTATTGACACAGGTTACAACTGTGTGGTCATTTTCAACTTGAGGCTGCAAACGAGGTTTCTTGACAGGGGAGCCTGACGTTGTACCTAAATATTCAATGTCATCATCACTTCTATGATCTCCTGTCCCGCAGCGTTTCTGATTTGTGCCGTGATCATTCTTTGTTTCTGTCTCTGACACCTTTGCTCCATTCAATGTTACACCTAGAATAGTGTTTGATTTACCGTTGTCTTCCAATCCTGTCGGTGATGAATGATCTTCAGGGTCCAGGTTGGAGTTACTGTTCTCCGTGACACCTGACTGCACAGCTCCACCAGTTGATTCTACTTTCCTACATTTACTGTCACCTGAGGTATTAACTGTCTGTTGACCACGCTTCTTGCGTTGTGGAGCAGGCTGTGCTTGTGTGTGGTCCCCGATATATTGCACTAGGATGTGTTTCAGAGGCTGGTTGTACAGATACGATGCTTCTCTGACAAAGGCCCTTGTTGTTGTCTTGTCCTCGGTGTAAGCCTTGTGGTACTGCTTCACTATGACTGGACTCGAGCCAGGCTGCTTCCGGGTTCCATCACTTCGGAAGTGATATTTGTCATCCTTCCAGATATCTGCAAATAGAAATTAACATCATAACATTGCAAACAATGTTGTAATCCTGAAGATGAACTATCCCTCAAAAAGCTTTGTTTGTTAGTGTGTCACCTGTGATGTAGATGTTAATTAATAAAACTGTGAACAGTCAATAGTGTAACATAACTCTAAAATCAACCCACCTTAATGCCAAATCAGCTGTAAGGTCATGCATAAATATGTTGTATTAGAGGTTGTGATGATAAATACCATGTCCTTTTCTCCTTCCCTGAGATGCAACACGATACTTGATTCTTGTTTAGCCCATATTGATTAATCCAACAATGGATTTTCTACAAGTTGACATCAAACAATGTTCATTATTTAAGTACACAATTGTTGTAGAGGGGATGGAAAGAGTAAATAGAAAAACAAAGATAGAACATAAGTAAAAGAAGTCGTTTTGATGATGATACAGACAAATAAACTTAATTCACGTAGTCACTTATTTGCACGACAATCACTTGTCAACAATGTTAGCGAACATAAAAGCGGTTATCACAGGGCTGTAAAAGGAAGCTGATACCAGGGCAGGGTGACCCCGACGTCAAGCAGACTATTACTGATAACGTACATGTATATGAATGTGGCTTTGAGGACATTGGTCATGTGTACTTAACAACCCCAATGAATTCAAATTGTGTAATAAATAATATCAGCTTTCCATGAAATATTAACATTGTTCATATGTATTAATCCCTGACCCGCTGTATATTAAGCCTGAACACAACTGCCTCACCTTCTCTCATTCCCGAGGTAATCTTATAGAGGTACACCTCCCCTCCCTGGGGTGGGGGTGTAGGGGGGGGGGTGGGGTGGGGGGGGGGGGGGGGGGGTGGGGGGGGGTGGGGGGGGGGGGCAGTCTGGATGGTCTTGCTCTCATCTGGACTCCTCAGAATGTTAACAATCTCCTCCACTTTAAGGGCTGAGGTTCTCCCTGTCAGGTAAGGCTCGGGTGGTTTCGGATTAGGCGCCATTTTGTAAAGTTATTAATAGTGACATGAGTCACACAGGCGTGATAAATAATCGGTTGTTCACTTGAACCTGTAGATGACAAAAGGTTATATTCTGAACTACACCCAAGCATGAATATTCATTATGTACCCTGTATTTGTCTACGCATCAGTGTTGGTCTTGTTATAACGCCTCAGGGCTTCATAAACGTCTCTCCTTGTACCGCAGGGGACGTTCTGTTATTGGTTTGTTGTTCTGTGTGTGGCTTGCGGGGAAAATAAAGCGAGTCTGTCCGGAGAGCGGAAAATAGGTGGTTCGAGCCCCGGCCGCGTTTTACCAAACGATGTTAAATGATGATATTTGTTATTACCCTGCATTATTTCTGCAGTACACTGTGTGACCATATTTCAAGATGAGCATTGTACATGTCCGAGTAACAATCCAAAAAAGCGTCAGTCTTCGTGATCAGGTGAATCCACTTAATATACATACTTTATTGTGGTTTCAAATCAGGTCTTGATCAAAATATAACATAATATTACAAATTACAATATTGTTGTCTGGCAACATGAGTAGAGAAATGTTACTCAGTTAGAAACCTATTGTTTTCAAAGGTTTCTGATATTGTAACAATGACCTCTGTTGATCTTTATTGCCTGGTTCAACCTATGCTCACTGAGAGAATGAGTGAGTGAGTATGGTTTTACGCCGCTTTAGCAATATTCCAGCAATATCACGGCGGGGGACACCAGAAATTGGCTTCACACATTGTACTCCACGTCGCCGAGGATGTTTTTTAACAATTTTCATAACCTGTACCCCAACTTACACAGATAATTATAATTAATAATGTCTTCCTCCGTTGAAGTATCCCAGTATTGTCATTGTTCTAAAGTTGAAATTTGGTTGATCTGAGTTTGCTTACTTGAAAAACATTGTATCAATATTGTTTCAACTCTGTTCGATATTGATATCATCCATAACAATTTTGTCTTAGATATTGAAATTGTTTCAATCTGACTTTCAAAAATGAAAAGTAAACTAAAAATCAATATTTCATAAAACATTTCACAGGTTGTTTATGAAATATGTGTTTTTGTTGTTAGTTGGAGTCAATATATTTAGACTCAAGACGTTTTAGACCAAACGATAATGATTAAGTAAGACTCGGAAGGGAAAGACTAGTAAAGTTGAATGAAGCCAAGGCAAATTTAGTTGTACCAGATGATTCTGCACCCATGTATTTAGGGGCTAAAACAAGGACTGGTCGGCTCGGAGTCAGTATACTGTGTCTGAGTGGGGTATTCATGTTAAACTGCGGCATGGTATCTCAGTGAACTAGCACTATAAATCGGCATCAGTCCGGACTAGTACAAGCAGCCACACACACACACGTACATGCACGTCGCTATATAAGTGCAATAATCTTGGACGCGACGTTAAACCCAATTTCACCTCACCTCATCGTTAAAACATGACCAGGTCAGGCTATGTGGATACTTTAAGGTCACTGTGAACCCAGTGCTGCTGACTCATTCAATGGGAAGGTAGACCTTAATTTTTACGAAGATAGACCTGAAGGGAAGGGAAATTGGGTTTAAGGTCACGTCTAAGTTTAGTGCACTTATATAGCGACGTGCACGGACCTTCCGCTCTCCGTGTGGATGCTCTATCACTAGACCACGGAGGCGGTCTAGTGATAGGGCCGTGTGGCAGAAGTATTGTTTTAGTGCAGCGTTAGGTGAGTAGGAGGTTGTACAGATACAGCAGGGCATGTTTACCCTTTCGTGAGGACCTGGTGTCATACCTGATTGATTTGGTCTCTGATCATTTGCACAATTTTGCATTTACACGCTGTGGAACCTGTTTCGGCACATACGAGAGACTGTTATTCTCTGGCTTAGACGATTTGAATTAAAAGGTAAGTGGGTAAATTGCGGTGGGTGACAGGGTGGACAGGGTTGACCAGATGGATGTAGATCTCGATCGTTCGTTCGTTTGTTGTTTAAAGTCACACTCAGCAATATTCCAGCTTTATAACGGCGGTCTGTAAACAATCGCGTTATGAAGCCAAGTATCTAGGTAGTTTACACTTGGGAAACTCTAAAACGTTGAAATAGCGAGTAACAATACTGTATTCAATGAGTTTCCTGGACATAATATGCAGCAGTAGTATCTTAGCTGAACCGTAAACAGTATTGCAATCAATTATTTTCTTGTGGATGTTTGCTTCTTTGAGTCAGTTGTTAAATGCCATTTTCGCCTTCCCACACACAATGACATGCAGCCCTAAATACTCTAAGGACGTTTTCGCCCACTAAATGATATTGCGAAATAAATTAAATGCCATGTGCAGTACCTGTTAATCTTGTCAGTTACACCTCCCCCTGGAAGAATACTGCATGCACACTGCTGTCACATACATTAACCAAACAACATAGCTGCCGGAAATGTTCAGCTTAATATTGTCCACATATGACGCCTTTACATTGTGTATGGCTTCGCAGGCCCCGTTTTCCTAAGCGATCTTAGCGCTACGACTGTCGTAGGTCCATGCTAAAGTGTGGGAGTTACGGTCGCCCTGGTGCTACGATCGCTTTGTATGAATGACGGGTGCTACCGGTAGAACAGGACATGCTTACCCTTTCCTCGAACACCTGGTGTCATCATTGATTTTCAGTGGTACATTCATATATTTATTTATTCTCGTGCATTGACAATTATATATTGTGGAACGGAACCCTACCATTAATCTTAACCTCAATCGGTGTCACAGTGTACGAAAACCACTTGAGTGTGACATCATAACTCCAACGAACCTTTTGCCAGTCACTGCTACAATGTATATACGCCGGTATGTGCATCCATGTAGTGACATATATTTATAGCCTTGCAACGTTGACGTTTGTCGGATTTTCGGACCTAGATCGGTTCAAACACTGTACCATGGTTGTCAAAGGGGCATGTG